TGTACAACAAAATTCAACTGGTTCAATAACGCATCCTTCCACAAATTATAGCACATATTCCGACTGTGGAGCATGTGCATAAAACGCACAATGTTGCATAGTAAAATCCACATTTTATACACTGATTTTGTAGAGGCTCTGAGAAAAAAAGCAACCTAGTCTAACCTCTCCTAGGTTGAGCACAGTACCTGTATTGTACTGCGCATATAATATATGTACTGAACTACTTTAAGGGCTTGACAGTTGAGTGGACAGCACTCGGGATTTGTAGTCCTGAGGTTCCGGGTTCGATCCCCAGTGGAGGTGGAAATGGAGGCATAGTTTTTTCACCCCGATGCGCCTGTTGACCTAGCAGTAAATAGGTACTTGGGAGTTAGACAGCTGCTTCCCGGGAGGTGTGTAACAAAAAGGAGGCCCGGTTGAGGACCGGGCCACAGGGACACTAAGCCCCGAAATCATTCCAAGATTACCTCAAGATAAGGCATAAGATTATAAATACTAGGCCTAGGGGTTGCTTACATATTGCTAGGGAGAGGTTATTTTAAGTTGCTTTTTAATGCCATATTGATTATTCGGATCAATTGGTACCTCCACTGTCTGGAAAGTGAAAATCTGGATAATCAAATAATTGCAAGACAATTTTTCTGCTATTTATTTAATAATTATTTTAACAACATGCTAAAAACACCTATTTCGGTATTTAAATAGAAATGTACCAACCTATATGTAGGAAACCATTGATATTTTTGTATTATTTGGTAAAACTAAGTGTTCTCTGTTGCCAAATTGTGTCGAGGCTTCACAACTACTGAGTGCTGACCCCCATTATCGAGACACGTTTCTGTTAATTAGGGCCGTGGAAAATAAAAAATATTTATGTTTGGATAATCTGAGAATCTGGGATGAACTGGCATAAGCTACAAGAACATCTGGCAAACTACAACCAAGGTAGTCATTCACTGACCCCTGGCAAGATGAGTATCCTCTGCTTGAAGGCATCCTCCTCCTCCTCAGAAAAAAAGGAGACAAAAAAAAAAGATCAAGCACTCCCCCCCCCCCTTTCTACCCCCCTAGCATGGGTGGGTGGGAGGGTGATAAGGGTATGAATAGCCACAAAGAGACTTCCCAGAAATGGGCAGGGCTTGAAAGACCAGAGAGCAGAAACCAATGCCACACTTATTTGCATAAGGAAATGGATCACCAAAAAACTTGGCCTCAAGCAGGAGTTCAAAAGAGGCAACCAGAGCGCCTTTATCCAAAGAGGAAGTGGGAGTCACCCATTTCAATAGTTGAGCGGACACCCAGGCCTTGTGCAACACCTGGTGCACCTCTTTGTCAAGTACAACAATAGGTGAGGAAAACAACAGCAAAACATCCAAATGGACTTCTAAAACTGACTAAACACCATACACCTCTGGAGGCATGATGTACAGTGAAAAGGTCTACATCAAAATCTTGCAAGATCTGGGAAAACAACTTGGGAAAAACACAGCAGCTACTTCTGATACAAACAAAAGCAGGCAACTAAATTAATCCAATCTGTCTGGTGAGTACAAGCTTTGAAATCTGCTACAGAGGTGCTGCAGCAAAGGAGGAACCAAGATATGGAGCTGCCAGGAAGCCATTTATTGTGGGAGAACAAGGCATTGAGAAATTGATTAAGAAAATCCAGGTCTTCCTCTGCCAACACAATATGTTTTTATATCCCATTGGTGGAGATAGGAAGCTGGTTGGCCTTATTGAGATCCTCCTAGGGCAGGGGTGGGGACATTTTTGGAAGCATGTGATTAAATTGGTAATAATTTTCATAAAAGTTCTTAACTGCCAATGGAAAAAAAAATGCTCAAAGGCATTCTTAAATGTTAGGCGACCAATAATTATGTATGACAACAAACTAGTTATGCGTATTATGTTCAGCACATATGCCGAATGTAATGCCTTATGCCAACAAGTGACCATCAACAGAACACAACCCACAACAGTTGCCTAACTCTCATATATGTATTTATACTTGCTAGGTGAACAGTGATATCAGGTGTAAGGAAATGTGCCAAAACATCTCTTCTTGCCAGGGGAATCAATCTCAGGAAAATTGGGTTGTGTTCGCACCGAACTGACCACTGTGCTAAATTACACTTTATGTAAGAGAGAAGACCACAGTCTTCTCAAGCACCAGTGGTTGACATCAGATGCCATGTTCCCATAGAAACAAAGCATTGCATGGTAATGGTAAAATCAGGAGGAAGCAAATACCTGATTATTGCAGCCAGAAAGCAAACATCGAGACTAATAAGCCCAAAGACACACGGAACCGAACCCTAGGGGTAACCAAATCTTACTCATACAGGGAGGGAGGACACAAAAATCCCTCCCCCTGCAAAAGGAGATCCTCCTCAGAGGGAATCAGGAACCATGTAGAGTCAAATGAGATGCACGGGGCCCAAATTAGACTATTCCAAGCCTCAGAAGTTGTACTTGAGAGCCCTGGGGCAGAGCCAGCATCCATCCCCATGGCCCAGGATAGTGAAGCAGAGTCCAAGAGGGAAGCTTCAAAGGAAGTGGGGGGGGGGGCCTGCAAGGAATTTAATTTTTTTTAATTATCAGGGGAAAGTGCCAAGCCATTATGACTTTATAGCACTTGGAAGGGGTTAGGATAAGGATTTGGGATGGGATGGGGGGAAGGAATGGTGACCAACCTCTTGGATGGTCAGGGATTGAACGCCGACCTGCATGAAGCGAGACCATCACTCTACCGTCCAGTCCAAGTGATTAGGTGGGCTGGCAGGAAAACCCTGAATCCTCAGCAGTACTAGTTGGCTCAACTACATTCACACCCAATTCGGAAGAGGCAACCCCCAGGGCTGATTGAATCACATCTCAAATTTCACCTGACAGATTTCATCCCTAAAACCTGCCCTGACAGGGAAAGCCCTAGATGTTTTGGGGACAGTAGGAGGAAAGGGGGCGAGGAAAGCTCAGAAGGGTGAATCATGCCCGAAAGGGAAGAACGAGGGGGAGGGCGGATGGAGCTTAGGTGTAATTCACCAATACCTCCAATTCTAGGTCACTAATTAGTTAGCCAAACACTAGACAGGGCAGCCCCAGAGCAGCCAACCAGGCACATAGCCTAGACCACTCCAAACAAGCAAAAGGAACTCGCAAAGCAGATGCTTCCTGATACACAGTAACCTCGCCAGGAGGGTCAGAAGGAAAAGTCACATGGGGAGAGCAAACCCCACAGGACTCAGGGTTGAAGGTCCCACTGACCCAACAGGCAGCATGGCAGTGGCAAAATGAGCGATTGTCACTGTGTGGCACGGATGACGAGCAACTGTCAAATTTGCAAATGGGGGAGGGGGGGGGGGGGAGCCTTGATAAAAGCTAAATGCATATTAATACACTCTGGCTTCCTGCCCCCGACACTGTAAATTATTATTTACACAAGGCCGAGTGCAGATAATTGGATTTTCATGTACTGTACTGTACGTGGTTCCCATAAGCCTTTCTTTTATTTCTCAAACTTTAAGGAATAGATTATTCATTATTACCCTGTATTGCATCACTGCACCTCCCAAGCATTCTGCACTACATTATGTATTGTACCGTATACACTACAATATTGTATTGCATTGCAGTTGTTGCTTTAAAGAGGCAGAAATATTAGAAATAATGCTCAAAAGATATTTTATTGTGGGTGAGGGAGGAGTGGACTGTTTGAAGTTTCAGGAGGGCAATCTTATTTTTCCAATATATAGTAGTACCATTAACTCCCATTTGCACAATTTTTTTTTTTAAAGATTGTAGCTCTCAGAAAGAAGTCTTCATCAGTGCAGAATAGAACCAATGAAGAGTAGAGGTGCCATAGGCACAATCGGAGAACACTGTCTGAACATCATGAGGTCCATAGCTGTTCAACACACTTCCAACAAACATTAGAAATATTGTTGGAACAAAGGTCAATGTCTTGAAGAGACACTTAGATAAGTTCTTGCAAGAAGTGCCAAACCAACCTGGTTGTAGTGGATATGTGGGACTGAGGGCCGCTCCAAGCGAGGTCCTTTTGGGGAGTAGAAGAACTCCCAGAACCCTCTCCAAGTATCCAGGAGGGAACAAGCAGCCACAGATTATGAAATATGTATACTGTACAACACAACTGAGTGCTCTGCTAAGGGACACTAACGCCACAGGGAACAAGACCATCATGACAGGAAAGTCATGATGGCCCTATTTAATGTGCATGAGCACACATTCTATAGGTCGCATTTTTTTTTTTAACTCTTGCAATGCAGATATCAAAACTGTCCCCTCAGCTTTGCAAAAATAACGAAAATAAATTATAAATTTATTTTATTATTGGTAATAATTTCTTCTTATAGAATGATATATTTGCATGAAAAATATAGGAAAAGCCCCCTTCCCCCTCCCCCTAAAAAAATCTATATGGTTTTGTCAACTGTAGAAGGAAGCCATGAGGCAAGGTCATTTTGTCAATTATTGCAATACACGAGTGCTGACACAGTGGTACAAGAGGAGAGTACTCAAATGTTTAACTTGGATGGTTTTTGTTTGTTGCTTCACTTATTAGTTAACACAATGTAGTATTTGTGTTGATAACTAATTTTGTACATATACAGTAATTGACAAAAGCAGTGACTGAGCACAATACTGTACTATAAGCTTACACTGAAATATGTACATCTACAGTATTGCATATAAATCTACTCCTGGCAGAGCTCAAAGGTAGTGCCTTGCAACATATTGTTTGGCTGCAATTCTGTCTGGGAATGTCATCCAGGCCTGGATTTAAACACTGGCAGGAAAGACCAATTTGTGATTAGGCGATAACCACAAGGCCTTAAAATATGACAACCTCGCCCCGATTACAATATGATAGTGTAATTTGTTCCCAAGTTTTTGTTAACTCTAGTACATCCATGACTAAGGTGACTGGCTAGCTTGTGCAATGCACTGCCATCTGGTGGTGAGGGAGTGTAACTAACTGGCAGCTCGAACTGGCTAATGATCATGGATATAATTAACATGGTTGCCAGTGTTTCTTCCTGCAGAATGTGTTGCCATTTTACTCTTGGCTTGGGTTGATTTAGTATCCCCAGACTCGCCCTTTTTTTTATATCCATGGTGGATATAAATAAGAGCTGCCTCGTATGGGCCAATAGACCTTCTGCAGTTATCTTCATTCTTATGTTCTTTGTCAATAATGAATTGACAAGATCCTGCTTCAGGTAGGCCTAGGCCTTTAACTCTAGGCCTTTAACTCTAGGCCTTTAACTCTAGGCCTTTAACTCTAGGCCTTGTCATGTCAAGAGGGCATGACAAGCTTCTAGCTAACCAGGTGACTAACTCAGGAAACCACTATGAGAGGGAGCTCTGCTAGAAAAAAATGTCAACAAGTGAACATATAATCTGGACCATTATATTGATGCAGAATGATTGAAGTACACGGCTGATAGCTCTGTGTACAACCCAAGTTTCACATTCAAAATTTATTAAATAAACATTCTTAAAGCATTTGTTTTAATTTATTTTTATAGTGATACAGATCAATCACTTACACTGATAAACAAATATTTATAACTGTAAAGTGCTACATAATATAGAAATGTTAATAAGCATTTCTAAATAGAGCTCCTCACACCCAACATACTTTAGGTTATTATTTTTTCTATATGCAAAACCATTAATTTCAAAATCTGACAAAAATCAGTGTTCTAAGCCCATGAGTAGTTTTTGTAAACAAAACCATGAGAATACACTCCATGTCCCACTTCCCAAACACCCATTATATAAAAAAAGGAAGCCTTGTTACCTATATTTATTTTCAAAACATCCTAAAATCATGACTTCCAAAAAATGCAGGTAATGTGTCAGCCAAGACTTGAACTAGCAACAAGCCAAGAAAATACATGCAGTGATGGAGTTTTGAGCAGAAAGTAAAGTTGTAAACAATGATTTGCAACAACATGGCTGAAGATATGATGACCAAACCACACATCAGAAAGTGATGTTTATAAAAAGAGGGAGAATTTTCATGGCCTCGGGCCGTGAATTTTCATGGCCTCAGGCAGGCTACCTCATACTTGTGAGGTATGCTGGTGCCACTGTGACAGTTCATAACCAGGGAGGAATATTTGCACCACAGTGATACTGTATAACTAAAAGATGTATTGGTATCACTGTCACAGTGTATAACCTGGTAATTATACAGGCACCATTGTCACATTACATGACCTAGGTGTACTGGTGACAGTGTCTCATTAGATGACCTAGGTGTCACTGACAAGTGCCAGTGTCTCATTAGAGACTGGCACTTGCCACTGGCAATATTTCCTAGGTGCTACTGTCTCACTGCATGACCTTGCAGGTACACTAGTACCACAGTCATACTGTATGGACAGAAAGGTGTACTGGTGCCACTGTCACACAACATGACCTAGAAGATACACTGACACATTGCATAACCTGCAAGGTACGTTGACACACTGCAATACCTGGAAGGTACACTTGACACACTGCATGACCTGGAAAGTACATTGACACACTGCATCACCTGGAAGGTGTACTGGCACGACTGTCAACACTGCCCTGCCCTGCCCTCCCACCACACGTCCACCGCCTCACACTGCTCCACACCACACTCACCTGCTGCTCCACCACCTCCACACGCACATAATGAATCACCTCACATTTCCCAGTCCCGTGAGGCGTCACACACGGCGGCAAAAGCACATACTTACCACACTTTCACAAATATAAGATACTACACTAAAAATCCAAAACAACAAAGCAGTATTTGGTAGAAACTACATGAAGGAGATTCCTGCGAGCTCTTCTTCCATTGGTGGATCTCTCCCCCCTCGACGTCTCCTCCACCAATCAGGGCTCGCCTAAACGTTACTGTATCTACCAGATGCTGCGGAGGAAACAACGACCATGGAGACTGCGCTGCTCGGCAAACATTGCTCACTATAATTTACAACCATGCTAATCAAACGGACACACTACAGTTAAAATCAAATTAAAATAACCTTCGCGTGATATCTATGTGAAAATCTGATACTTTTTTACGTTTTTTTTTAATTTTTAAATATAAGGAGATATCAGCAAGAATTGTACTTTGCTTGAGGTATTGAAGTAAAGAATTGAGGTACTTTGAGCTCTGTAATTACTTCATACACTCAGTAATATTGTAAGATATTCTTGTGCTGTACACAGATTTTGCTAGTAGAGGCTAATAGATCAGCCTTACATTACATTTCATTTCATGGTCAGCCGTACAACTATGTATCCTCACAATCCCAATGTACCTTCTTGTATATATATAAATAAATAATAAATAAATGTTCTCTCCTGATTCCATGTATGACTGGCCGTCCCGTGAGATGGGGATGTTAGATGAGCTTGTAGCTGTTTTTTTTAATCTACACTGTGTGGTCTTTCATACATAATAGGGCAGCAGCACATTGATGTGTATACGTAAGCTTGTTAATAATACAACAAAAATCATAATTGGTGGTACATTTATAATTGGGAAAATTTACATAAAAAGTACCGTTCATTATTTTATATAAGAGTATCAATAGCCGAATAGTAAGTAGAAAAACCCAAAATGCAAAAATAGATACTTGAAATGTTGTAATATCCATTATAAACAACAAGAACATTAATGCACATCGCAAGAGTTTCACTCATTTGTATGGATACCAAGTTCAAGTTCAAGTATGTTTATTGAGATAAGCAATAAATACATCTCAAAGGGATAGAGTAGCTTAGGCTATTTCTACCCACCTGATATGGATACCATTTCACACGTAGGTGAGATATGTTGCGTAGGTTAATTTGGATTGTATATCCGCAGGCAGCTAGGATTTTATTATTACTTCATCAGCATATACGATATTAGCAGAAGTGAGTTACAATTAATGCAATATAAATGATGGGGGTGGATATTCAGAAATGGCACTTTGTCTATAGTTAGGCCATATATTTTTACCATTTTCTATGAATGCTATTATAGAAAACGATTCTCGCCGAATGATGAACGCTACTATTTATTTATTTATTTACATTAATTAATTTGAGGGGCCCCTAACACACTAATGACCTCTACGGAGACAGAACACCGGCGGCTTGGTAAAGGTCCCCAATTGTTACCGAGGAATTTTTCCAACTTGGATTTTGAAATGAAGAAATTATTTGGTATTTACGACTCTGGTAGGTAGGCGGTTCCATGGGTTTATAGGTTTGACTAGGTAAACCCTTGATAATAACCGAAAAGTAATCCATCATATGGGTTGTTCAAGAGATGTAGCAAGTAATCTACAGATTTTAAGTTATATTTAATAGAGAAACGGCACAGAGCACTAATATCAGTAAGACTTTCTAGAGGGTTGTAACAGAACCCATTGGCACCACACTAGAAACAAATATCTATTTGCTATTCCAAGAGTGTGACTTGGCCAAAGTAGAAATGCTTTGCAAATCAAGGTCCCAGAATGTGAAATGACCTTCCCAAACACGTCAAAGACTGGCCCTCTCTGAACCAATTTGGAAGAGAAACTAAGTTTCTCTGTATGTACCTTACCTAAATAAAATTGTATTGTATTGTATTGTATTGTAAGTATTGTTCTACCTAATCAACTCAATGTAACCAAACCCACCTCCTAAATGTCAACCTATGTTTTGCTGTTATTGAATGTTAATGATTAATGTTTGAACTTGTAAAACAGCTGATATATGTTGTGTAAAATCTTACACAAATTTATTCCTTCTGTTTATTGAGTTAAAATTTCCATCTGCTGTTCTGTTGCAATTTCTGCTGTTACATTCAACATAATATATATTTTTTTAACTTTTCTACTTTAGTTAAATTTTTGCTTTTGCTCTCAATTAGTTTGAAGTCAAAGTTTTTAAGTTTATTTTTCAGCCCTTTAAGCTTTTGGGCAGAAAAGCAACCATAGATGCAGCATAACCAACTAAAGATGTGATCTAAGCAAGGTACATAATTTTAATAAAATTACATTTGCACCACATCCTGTGTGACACCAGGCCACATCCTGAGTGACACCAGGCCACATCCTGAGTGACACCAAACCCCAGCCTTGAGAGAACTCTAAACACAGATGAAAATGTGTTCAACTTATACCTGTTAATCATGACTTGTAGTTACAACTTTATCTTGTAAAAACCGCCCCAGTCTCTCTCCTCAAACTCCGTCCATGGAGGATACATGAACACTCTTATATACTTATTAAAAAAATAATTGAATGACCCCGTCACTGACAGACAAAAATATAATCGATCTGTCATTCACTGCGCCACGCATTTCTTTCGACGGACTTATAAACACATCTGCCATTGGGTTGAACTAATGGGCTACAGTAGAGAAGGAAGAGTGTGTTAAAAAAATAGTTATACCTTTACCCAGATGCGGATTAAGATAAACACGGACCTTAGGCTCGGATTCTTGGCGTGCCACTTTGAAACTATTTAGTGACTATTTTTAAGCAATTTGTACACTAAAAATAGCATGTCCCTATGTGTATGTTGTACATGGAGACAGTGTCTATGTGTATGTGATTTCTTCATATATTGTACAATGAATATTGCCTTCATGTACAATGAATTCTGCCCGAAATGCTATGCGTTTTAGTGGTTTAGCAAGAATGCAAAAATACCAGTATTATGTAATCTCACAAACCCATTGTACCGTCTTGTTAATAATAAATAAATAAATAAATAAAAATAAAATAAATTGATTCAATTCAAAGAGTATAAGTAATTTAGTGTAACTGCAGCTGATTCTGAAACCGAATGTAGCTTTGAACAGCATATGTTTAAGCAAATTGTGTCAATCAACCTATCTTCAGTCTTTCCAAATTTACACACATTTCTCTCGAAGCGTGACTATGGCCGGTGGTGTCCATCAACAGTGGATAGTGGGCCAGCCAGGAGGCACATTTACATCAATTCTAGCTAGACTGACGCCCTCACAGGTTGGCTACGTCAAGGAGTGTGAGTCACAGAGCCAAGCAGTGTTCCAGCACATGACTGGAAAAGGAGATATGGCTGTTTGTTCGGAGGAAGACGGAGAGGGCGCGCCCGCCTGGCCAGAGTCCCGGTAGAACACTGCCATATAAGTGACTTGGAGGGGGCCGAGGCCGCGTATTACGTGGCTTTGAAGGAGTGTGAGGCTCTCTTGGCAAGTTTCTTGGAGGGGGACATGGCAGTCTAACAAGTGACCTCATGGTATGTGGACCAGTTCGGCCTGTACAATAATGGACAGACAAAACAAAAAGTTGGATATTGATGGAAAATGTCAAGCAGGCTCTCCAAGTGAAGAGCCGTAGCCTAGCCTTAATGCCCGCTAGATTAGCAGTTTATACGTTTGTTTCAGAATGTATAACAACATTATTTCAGATCAACACCGAATCATGAGCACTTATACAGCGAGTCTTCCCAGACAGTTATCAATAACATACATATATAAACAAAGGAATAACACAAGTTTAAATACAAAATAAATCGGGTTCATTGTTATGAATAAAACTATTTTGATTGCGCTTTCATCTAGTTGCTGTATTTCTCCATCTAAATATTCGTAATTCTTAAATTAATCTTTACAAGCACTAGCTTTTAGTTTAATTCATTTATTATGCACCTCATACCCATCTTTTAGACAGTAGTGGACCCCATACTCATCTTGTGAATGACAGTGAACCCCATACCCATCTTGTGGACATTAGTGGACCCCATACCCATCTTGTGGACATTAGTGGACCCCATACCCATCTTGTGGACATTAGTGACCCCATACCCACCTTGTGGACAGTTGTGGAAAAAGATTACAGAATCCCATAAGGGTTTCAAATTGAAACCAAAAAATCATTTAGCTAAACAAGTCACAGTCTTGATAAGCTAGTTTCAAAGTGTTTTAATGAATTATTATCTCAACAACGGGTTGGAGAGCGATCTCAAGTACAGGTCCATAAGCTAAGCAACTTCCTATGCGGGTGAGCTAGTTTCATCATTTGATTTGCTCATCATTACGAACAGCCATGATAGAGGTCAGTCTTCCGCTCTCAGGTGCAATTCAATCGAGTCCCTCGAGAGGTTGAATCTGGAAGGCGGATACATATGAGAACTGTGGTGGTTTTATGAGTAAATAATTAAGGTATATGGACAGAGAGGGCGGCGGAGGACCCACCTTGCCACTCGTAAATATTTGATAAAGAAGTACATTCATAGAAACTGGTATTGTTGAGTCGTGTAGATATGAGAAAAGCTTTTGTTTAAACAGCAAGTCCGGTGTTCCATTTATTCAAATGTACAATAAGCCTACTGTTGCTGAATATAAGAGTACACTGTACAAGGCCCAATCGCGGCAGCGCCTATTATACGGTGTTCTGAGGCGGTAATCAATGTTGAGGCTTCTTGTTTAGCATCTAGAGAGAGGGAGAGGGAGAGAGAGAGAGAGAGAGAGAGAGAGAGAGAGAGAGAGAGAGAGAGAGAGAGAGAGAGAGGGAGAGGGAGAGGGAGAGGGAGAGGAGAGGAGAGAGAGAGAGAGAGGGAGAGAGAGGGAGAGAGAGAGAGAGAGAGAGAGAGAGAGAGAGAGAGAGAGAGAGAGAGAGAGAGAGAGAGAGAGGAGAGAGAGGAGAGAGAGAGAGAGAGGGAGAGAGAGGGAGAGGGAGAGAGGGAGAGGGAGGCGAAGGGAAGTCAAGTGAACTTTTCCTCAAGATGAGAGCGTGAACAAAAGTGGATCAAATAATAAAACAAAGCAAAACAAAGGTGAAAGGGTTAAGTAAGACGCTTGTTTCACCGGACAAAATATAAAATATTACCGGACGAGTAGTAACGTTTAAATTAACGCAAGATCAACGTTTTCAACGTTACCTTGTTTCACCTTGTGTCAGCAACACATCAACGTAGTTTGCCCAGATTTTCCGGCTTGGGAATTCTGTGGACGCAACCGGCTCATCATCTGGCCAGCTGACACATAAAACACCCCCTCACCACCCACACACACACACACACACACACACACACACACACACACACACACACACACACACACACACACACACACACACACACACACACACACACGGGACTAAATACGTGCCTCGTGTCAGCCTATACAGTAATACAACTAGCTGCTGTGTATGCTCCCTCGTGTAGCAGTATCCCCTATGTATAAGTAATGTGTAATGAATGATGTATGTCAAAGTATAGGAGTTCGTGTGTTCGCTTCTTATACGACAAGAAGCCAGCTTTTACACTCAGAAATCACAATAGCGTGATGCATCAAATGAACAAATCCACAAGGGCCGTGACGAGGGTTCGAACCTACGTCCGAGAGGATCCCAGACGCGCCTTAAGACGAGGTTCGAACCTTCGTCACGGCCCTTGTGGATTTGTGCAAGCCAGATGTCTTCTTGCCGTATAAGTAACGTTACAGGTAGACAGGCAAGATGTAACTCACCCTAGAGTGAGTACACACACGCACTCACACGCACACGCGCACACTGTACACACCAGTATGCACTGGTGTAGGTGAGTACATACACGCGCGCACACACACACCATCTGGAACAAGTAAGATACATTGCCAAATATCCAGTTTTTACATTAAATACATGACTCAAGCTCCTTCAACAGGAACAAAAACTATACCCCCGGGGCGTTCATCATGCAAGTGTATGTTGTGGTATAGCCAGCGCTTCCTGAACCACGTAGCTAGTAGGAAGCTGCACTCTTACTCTACTACGCAGAGAGAGAGAGAGAGAGAGAGAGAGAGAGAGAGAGAGAGAGAGAGAGAGAGAGAGAGAGAGAGAGAGAGAGAGAGAGAGATTTCCGTGTAATTCAGCACATAATAATGCTGAAACGTAACTATATCTAGGTACCGGATCTCTAGTATCAAACTATTGCTTCAAACAATCCGGTATGATAGAGTACTCAACACTCATAGACCTGAGAGCACTAGGATGAAGTTTGGCCTCAGATCTAACATTTATATCTACTAGGTGGTGGTGTACCCGGCGGTGCCTGGGATAGTCTCTTTCTCCCCCCACCCCCTTCTTCTTGTCCCCTTCTTCCCACTTCTCATCTCTCTCCCCTCTACCCTTTCCCCCTCACCCCATTTCCCTACGCTCTTCCCTCCCACTTCATCTAGTTCCCCATACAGGCCAAGCTTCAAGAGATATACCCGAAGCCAAGTCGTATTCGGGCTGTGCCGACGTCAGTGAGTCTGCTGACATTGTTATATGGTTCATATATATGTTTTGTTAGACACATTTCATTGTGATAAACAATGGATCTGCTAGTTCCTGTTTGCATTCAGATATTTCATCGAATTTATCTGAGAGTCCTCGTCAAATGGCTGTTTTAAAGTTCTACTTGATAGCCCAAGATTACGAACATTGTGTCTGTTCATAATCCGGTGTTGAGTCTTCTTTCTGGTACATTTTTCATCTTAATTTCACTTAGAGGTTCCTTCCCTTGTGTATATTTCGTCCAGTTTCCCTTTCACCAGTTCATATTTTCATGAATTGAAGTCTCACGAAGGTTTGACTAAACCTGAACCCTCTTCCCCTTGTTCGTGTACCATCCTTGCTAGACTGTCCTGGTCTGCCCTAGCAAATTTCCTGAGAATTTTGTACGCGATAATCATATTTTCCTTTACTCGGGTTTTCCCCTCAAGCGACGTTAGGTTAAATTCTTGCAGCCTTTCCTCTTAATTCACACTCCTCAGCTCCGGGACTACTCTGGTATCATATCTCTGAATTTTCTCCAACTTCATGTTGTGTTTGACCAGGTATGGACTCCACGCAGGAGCCGTATATTCCAGGATTGGAATATGCGGCGCCATATTCCAATCCTGGAATATGCAAGTAGCGAGAAGTGGACAGGAAGAGGCACTCCTCGTCACTCACTTCAGACAGAAATTACAGCTCTACGCTAGTTAGTTTACACAGGAAGAAGCGCGCTTTATCAATCAATTTAGATAGGAATAAGCACTCTTGGCCTCGACTTGCTGAGTTCCCTCTACGTCTCCACCTGCCAAACTGTCCATTCTCGTCCCTCACAGGTCAAATTGTCCGTTTTTATCTACGGTGTCGACTTCTGAATATCGTGTCAGTTGTGATCATGTCTCATCTGTTGTCTCATGAAGCGCGAGGCTCAATTCATTTAGTCTATCACAGTAACTCAATCCTCCCAGCTCAGGGAGGACGTTGTTCGCAATTGTGTCCGGTTTCGTAATGCCCCGCAGCGAGGTGAAGGTTCCATTCGCCCACTGCGTACTCTGGAGACTGTTTAGCCCACTTTGTTGATGCTGTTCCCAATGGATCTTTATTCATATTCGTGAAGGCAGTGTGTAAGTTTGCCTTGTATACGCTGCTGACTTTGTGTAATATGGGTGTTCCTCTGGAGATACGATTAGTGGGATATCTACTCAATTGTGTTGACCGGACCACACACTAGAAGATGAAGGGACGACGACGTTTCGGTCCGTTCTGGACCATTCTCAAGTCGATTGTGTGTGTTCCTCCGACTCCTGGAGTCTTCCCATCACACATGTGCGCTCACCGGTAACTTTTGTCGAATTTAGGCTTTGCAGTGGGGAGTCACACTGGGCTTTTGGACATTATATGCATATACACCTGCAGGGAATTCTATTGCGAACACAATGCTAATTAAAACAACTTGAGAAGGTATAGTCAACCTGACAACGACGTTTGAAGTTGACGAACGCTAATCTTCCCTTCCATCACCCTACTTCCCTCTACGTACCCCTACCTCTCCCCTACACTGATGTCAGCACCCCTTCCCCTGTGACATCTCCACGGCCTCCGTGATCCCCAGGTGGGAGGGAGGCGGGGTGAGGGCCGGAGGGAGGTGTTGGCACTGTGCCACGGGACGCTGAAGGTGGCACAGTGGTGGTCAAGCAGCTCCCCCAGGTGAAGCAGGCTCTTGCTTCCGCTAGTTTCTTCCTCTCAGGGTCGATAGCTCTTGCGGCATGTGCTTAAAAATTCATTGTTTATGCAATTTTTTTTGTTGTCGTTACTTTTCTGTCAATATTTTTGTTGTTTTTTTAACTGACGAACACAAATTTAGCGACAAAGGTGAATGGAATTTAGCGACGCCTTTTATTCAGTCTCGACTATCGTTAACGCTTTCACTACCAAAAAGAGTATTAGATTAGGCGAGGTTTGTTCAGGCTTTGTAAGGTTCGATATTCCTATTACAAGTAAACAAAAACGCATCTGGCAGCCGCGCAAGTGGTCGCTAGGTAACGTTACGCTAATTTCCGGTCGAGTGCGGACGTCAGGTGATGTCACAACATTAACTTATTCAGTATCCACATAGAACGAGGCACCGTAGGGAGGTGTGCACACAGCGAACGCTCCCTGGCTCTCACACGACCCCAACAACCAGTTCCCTGCTAACAGCCACAGGACGATTATGGGGTGCACAATAAACTACAGCTCACAGGACAAGTATGGGGTGCACAGTAAGCTGGCCGCCGCTGGACGCCACAATGAATCAAGTTCCCTACTGAGGGCCACATCTGGTATTCAATTGCACGCCAATTTACCGAGACATTAAAAACTTAAGCTTTGAGTTCGACGAATTCACCGTCAGAAGAAACATATATCTTGAGATGGTTATCTTGAGATGATTTCGGGGCTTTTTAGTGTCCCCGCGGCCCGGTCTTCGACCAGGCCTCCCATAGGACATTAAAGCTTACTAACATCCTCCTCCTCCACTTGCTTCATCACCTTGAATAGAATAGAAACAAAAATCGTGATTTTGTTGTGGATTGAAATGGAATATTGACACGCTGGCTTGCCGTCTTGATTATTTACTTGCAACATCGTAAAGAAAGCCAGGTAGGTTTTGTCAAAACCCAGGCTGGAGGAGAGTCCATATTCACGAAAGCACTTACGCAAACACTTACGAACATGTACATCTTTCCTCAATCTTTGACGGCTTTGGTTATATTTATTAAACAGTTTACAAGCATGAAAACTTCCCATTCAACTGTTGTTATTGTTATAAACAGCCTCCTGGTGCTTCGGAGCTCATTAACTATTTAATTGGAAACAAAGCCGCCAAAGA